CTTCTTTTTCTTTTTCTTTTTCTTTTTCTTTTTCTTTTTCTTTTTCTTTTTCTTTTTCTTTTTCTTTTTCTTTTTCTTTTTCTTTTCTTTTTCTTTTTCTTTTTCTTTTTCTTTTTCTTTTCTTTTCCTTTCTGTGGTACCCGGAATCAAACACAGGACCTTGCCCTTTTAACACAGATACTTGTGTCACTGAGCTATGTTCCCAGCCCCAAGATCGGGTCTTTATAGCAAGCAGTAACAGGAATTTTAAGGAACTATTTAATGTAGTAGAATTTTATTCTCTTACTTAAAATTGGCTGCAAATGATGACTTTTTGTTGAATTTCCTACTTGATACAGACATTTAATTTTTTAATTCTCAAAATAATTTCAAAATAAATGTTATATCCATTAAGTATCTTTGTTTTTGTAATATTGAAAATATATTTCATAATAGTAGCTGTTTTATAAATTCATTTAATGAAATCTCTAAAGGCAGCATGAAATCCATGGGCTCCAGTGTGTCAACACGGCTGGTGTCTGTTCTTCACTGTCCTCTGCTTTACATAAAAGCCTCTTATGGTGCTCTCATCCAAAGACTGCCAATCTTTGCAGTATTATGTACAGTCTCTTCCAATTGCACTTCATTCCTTTTCTCTCCGAAATGCAAAGTTTTTTTCACCCTTCCAGCATCTCTTTGCTTCACGGGCATGAGGTAAACCACATGCCTGCACCTGGACCAATCACTTGGGAAGCAGATGGACTTTATTGGTTTAGTTAAGCCACCTTCATTATTGAGGATGAAGTTAATCCAAACTGAAGAGGTACATTCTTCAAAATGACACTGTGTTGACTTTTTTAAATGCAAAAGAATTTTGACAGTAAGCTTTGAAATGAATGCATCATCTTTTAGTTTCTGGGTCTTCACTTAAGATGATAACTAGGGCCAGCAAGATAGCTTAGTAGACTAAGCACCTTCCTGGCAAGTGCAGAGACCAGGGTTTGATCCCCAGCACCACATGCTGCCCTAGCTCCGCCCCAGGGCCACTGAGCTGTCCACCAAAACCAGGCATGGAACACCTGTAATCCCAGTGCTGAGGCTGAAACTGGAGGATCATTACGAGTCTGAGCTGCATAGCAAAACCCTGTATGAAATACATAAATTAAAAAAAATGTGCCTTTGAAGTGTCTTTTTTTGGAGCTGGGGATTTATGTCTCTAACTGGCTGTTGCTTTCTTTTACCTTATTGAATTGACATCATTTTACCCAATTCTAAATACTAGTGTGAGAGAATTGCCAACTGGTGGTCAATTTATTGTACATAACTGAACTGAAATGGCATGATGCTGGGTATGAGAGACCCACCTGATAATTGTTGCTAGCAGCATAATAGGAAGAACTAGAGAAGCCATTGGGAGGCTGTCAAGGAAGCTGTTGGGGAACTGTTGGAAGCTGTTGGCTCTTTTTTGGACTATTCTGCTGGGGGACCTTGTCATGCTGGCTTTCCTGGTGAACTTGTTTTGTCAGAGGAGTTGCTCAGGAACTCTTTATCACTGAGGATGGCTGCAGTTCACTTTGGGGAACTCTGGTCCTCACTTTGAGCATTGCTTCCTGGCTCCAGAGTGGAAGGTGGTACACTGCTCAGGGTTCTGGAGAAGCTTGTTGGGTTCGCTCTGGACATCACTGTTGCTGAGGATGGTTGTAGTATTTTTCAGGGAGCTCTGGTTCTTACTTTGAGGCTCCAGTGCAGATACATCAGCATGTTAGCACAGATCTTTCATCCTGCAGACACAGATTTTCTACCTTCTACCACTGACTTTTGGGCCTTCCCAGTGCAGATCCATGAAACAGGCCTGTATGGTACATTTTCTTGGGTCTAGGTCTTCAGCTGGACTCAAGTAGGACATTACTGTGGAATTTAGGCCCTTAGATAGTCTTGGGTCTTTAGTGTGTGGATAGATTTCCTGCACTGTTGTTATATGATTCTTTGGGTGACTACTGTAAATAATCTTATATATGTGTATCCTATATTATATTGTTCACCTTGCAAAACTCCAAACTGTGACAGCTCATCATGTTTTCTTTATAAATATACATTATTAATCAGTGATATGTAATAATTTGCTAAATAATTTCTTTGTCAGCCCCCCCACACCCGCAGTATGGAGGATAGATCCCAGAATATTGCACTTGCTAGACAGGCACTTATGCTACTGAGCTATCTCCCTAGCCCCAATTTCTTTGTTAAATAATAATGTCAATAACAAACACTAAAGCAACATTGCTAACAAAGTATTGAACAACAGAGATACTGTTCTTCCTCACCATAAGGACTGTTTACAAACTGGGGGGCAAGTGAGGAGTACAAATGAAGTAAATTTTAAAAGGGCATTAGACTCATGAAAGTCCTAGGTGTGAACTAACTTTGGAAAGAAATACTACCAGGGTTCCATAGAGTACCAAAGTTATGGTACATGTTCATTTTAAATCAAATTGTAGAACAGAGCTTTTCACCTGAAAATAGTTCTGCTACTAACAATGCTATGTGATTTCAAAACCACAAAGTTGAACTTTTTCTAAAATGAACAAACATTTATCTAGCAAAAGAATGATATATGGGGCTGGGGAGATAGCTTGAAGGTCTAAGTGCCTGCCTGCAAGCACAAGGACCCAGATTTGATTTCTGGTACCCTCATGTCCTATTGAGCCAGAACCCCCTTATTATTTCTGTTTTAAATTTCATTTAAATTTAAAAATGGATACTTAATTTTTAGTGAAAATTTTTGAACATATTTAGAACAACTTAAGATTTATGAATCTATCCCATTTTTAATGAAATTTAAATACATATCAAATATTTCAGAAGAAAATTTGCATTTAAGTTATGGTATAGCCATAAGAATAAAACAGTATATCCCAGAGGGTTAGTATGATCAGAAGGGAAATATCTCAAGTATAATGTTTACATTGATGTGTGTCAATACAAAATATTTTGGCTGCATTGGGATAAAAAATATTTTTTAAATCAATTCTATTTTTAACATTATAAAACATGGATATCAGTAAACTTTAAATTACTGTTTAGATTATATTGTATCTATCTTGGATAATGTCTTGAGTTTTTCTAAGACATAACTAAAATCTGTTACATGCATAGAAATGCAGTTATGGCCAAGGACTACACCTTACCAAAACAGTAACATTTCCCTTTCTATCTACTAGTACAGAGATGGTGATGTGAATATTTGCAAATTTTAATCACTGAATCTACTAATTAATCCAGTATCATTTGCTTTTCTCTTTAACTTGTGACTACAATCTTTCATTAGTGTTTAGGAAAATAAATTCTTTAGAAGATTTTAGTTAAACAAATTGGTGAAAATTATGACATGGAAGCAAGTATTACTTTGATTGAATAGTATTGTGCCTTGGGTAATGTCCAGTGTGAGCACTTAAAATAGCTCCACAGTATCTAGAAAAGTTTATGGTGTCTGCTTTCTATACAGGCATATTCTTTCCATGTTTCGTTTTATCCCCACCTGAAACAAGTGGGGGCAAATTCATGGCCAAACGTGTAGTGCTTTTTATTTTGTCAAGTATCCCTAATGGGCTGTAGCTTCAAGTTTTATCATAAATTTCTCTCATTGTTTTGTTGATTCTTCTAGGAGGTGATTTCCTCACCTTTCTGAGAAAGAAGAAAGATGAACTAAAACTCCAACAGTTAGTCACATTTTCTTTAGATGTTGCTGCTGGTATGTTTTATCTCGAGAGTAAAAACTGTATACACAGGTAAGGAGAATATTTATAAAGCATTTTTCACTTTTTTCAGTAGACTGATAGAAAATGGTTTATTTGCTATAACGTAGTAGAAAATATCTTTTAGAAAACATACATTTTCATCGTGGTATTTACATTTTGTGTGAAAGCATTCTTTCTTAGTTGCTAGTCTTCAGAAACACTTGTGTTCCCCTTACTTGAGGTAAGTACCTAATTATGAAATAACTCACCTCTTAGGTTTTTTTTTTTTTTGGTAATCCTGAAGAATAGTGCCTGGACACATACTGTAATTTAGTAATGTTAAACTACAGTTTTACAATAGAAAGAACTGTTTCCTATGTTGCTTATTCTCATTCTTCAAAATCATGTAACAGCATAATAATAAAACAATAATGAATGACAGTGAATCTGGATAAAAAGTACGAGCTTTTAGCATACTAGTTAGAGTATTTCAGAGGAGATTTTAGAAAATATTCTGTGATTACACCTATTGTCTTAGTGTTTGATAGATTGTGAGTTTTTAATTGTTTGTAGTCACAAATGATCTTTACTCCTGAATGTCAGTGCAACTCAGAATCTGTTAGAGAATTTATGTCAGATCCTAAATATGGCTAATTTGGGAACAGATGCAGTTTGTAGTGACTGGAAACTGCATTGTACTTACATAATACTAGATTGGTCTATTTTAGAGTATCCAAACTGGTTTAATTATTGTGGTACACTTTTTTTTTTTAGTACAGGGTCTCACTACGTAGATCTGACTCTTAGTGATCCTCCTGTTTTCAGCCTCCCAAGTGCTGGGATTACAGGCTCTGCCACTGCGCCCAGTCTCAGTCATCCTCTCAGTGCACGCCAGGGTAGGGCCAGCACAGCTGTGGTACACTTTTTGTGCGGTTTCTCATTATGTAACCTTTGACTTGACCTTCTGGTAATGCTGTGGAATACATAGTTACAGCAAAACAAAGTTATCTTCAACTTTACTGTATGTTTATTTGACCTCAATTCTTCAACATAATTTTTCCAAAACATTTTGCTTACTATTTATTTCTGGAGCTGAAACAATAACCTACTTTTCAAATACAGTTCAACATTTACAAATATCTTAAAATTCATTTCAATGAAGTTATTTCTGAAAGTTCAGACAACTAAAACTTAGCCACTGTTAATGTATTTGTTTTAATTTCTAGAAACAGTTATCACATTATAAGAGCTTTATTTTGAATAAACCATTTGAATTCATAAAAGGATTATATTATAATTAACTTTATAAGGGGTAAACATTGTTTTAAATTACATTAAGAGCTTATTGAAACATTTGGGGCTGGTGAGATGGCTCAGTGGTCTAAAGCACCTACTTAGAACAAGCTTAGCAAAGCACAGGGACCGCAGTTCAATCCCCCAGCACCACATGGCAGCCAGCCCCGCCCCCTGGTGGGCTGAGCTGGCCACACACACACACACACATACACACACACACACACACACACAAAAAAAAAAAATAAATAAATAAATAAAAATTTAAAAGAGCTTATTGAGATGTTAAGTTCTTTTTCCTATGAAGTACTCCATCAAATGCTTTAGTTACTATTTTGTCTCACTTTATTTTTCAGACTATTAGGCAATCTATGACTTTAAGCCATAATAAATGTACAATAGCAAGAGTATTTTATTCATCAGTAACCAATAATGTTCTTTAATTTTTAGTACATTGCCATTGAGGGAATCATTGTTTTGATTTCTTGCTCTTTATAATGATTACTTTTTTCAAAATAATTGTCTTGTTTTTAATCATTAGAGTTAAAATCATTTCAGGTTACAAATAATTATTAGCTTTTCAAAATTTATCAAACTTTGCACCAAATGATAGCATCGTCTATGGCAATGTTGTTTTTCCACTTTGCTTTCTAAGATTTTTTTCATAGGTTTTTGAAAGTCGGCCTTTGCTTAACCACGAAGGCCAGCATGTTGTGCATAGAGCTGTAACCTTTACCTGCTCATGAGGTTTCCTGACTGAATATCATGCACAGTGTCACTGAGAGCAGGTTTGATGAATAGGTTTCCTCAGTAGTGCCACGTGCAGTGATCAGTAGGAGCTCTCACGTCGTGGATTCCAGACTCAGCTATCATCATATCTCAGAAGCATTAACACCCAGGCCCAAAATCTGCCATGCTTGGCACAGAGGATCTTTTTATCTTGATTCTTGTAAATACATTTCTAGTTTTGAAAATGTTTGATATAATTTTTCTCACTAACCACTTTATAGTAACAGTATATTATTTTTCTATTGCCACTTCCATTGAATTCTTCTAAACTGTCTTTTCTCTTATTTCTCTTGTTAAACATGAGTACTAAGTGAATCATATCTTCAGCCACTGGTCTTTTTTCTTTAAACCTGTATAAATGCTTGTTTTTATAGTTTGAGGACTACTGGATGTCTTGTATTTTTGTTTAGTTTTAATCAGCTTCATTTTCTTTATAATTATTCTGTAAACCAATGTGCAGTTTTCTATCATACTTATACTTCATACAACTTTCAAATACGCTGGTCAATTTTGCCCTTACTATATTTTTGACAGTTAGAAATTTGGCATTTACGATTTATTGCTAATAAACCCATTTGTAAGATTTATTTTTCTTTTGGGTTATGTCTTTGATGCTTATTTGATATCTATGGACATTTAAAGAAGAGAAACTATTGATTTGTATTTTAATTAATTATCATAATCAATAGGATATTGTGGGAACATTTCTTTGTTTCATGCTATTCTGTTACTGTCATTATCAGAAGAGGTATTTTTAGAGGGGTGAGGTATAATATTTCTTTCTCCTTTTTAAATTTTGTACTGATTCTACAGTTTGATTGTTCTTTGTTTGATTTTTTGATTGTGCATATTTGCCATAGAGTAAGAACAAACTAACTTTTATCAGAACACATTTATTTTACTACTCAGGGTTTTGCATATTCATTGATAAATGGAATGTCCTGTATATGTAGAACCTTCCTAATCTGAAATGCTCTAAAATCCAAAAAATTTTGAATACCAACATGATGTCACAAGTTGAAAATTCCATACTATCTGGATATGGATGTTGGCTTATCTGTACCAAGGGATTTCCAACAGGAAAATTATGGTCCCTACCTTCAGATGGATAGAATGTAAAAAATAATATAAAGAGATAATCAATTTTATGCTAATATAAATAAAGTTGTTTGGGAATAGTATTAAAACTATCAAATATGACCTGTTAGTATGGGAGCTGGGGTGGGGAAGCTTTGCAGAGTATAAGTGAAACTTGGTGGATGGATATGTTGTTGAAAAGAAGGAGAAAAGAATTATAGCTAAAGAAAAGTTGAAAACACAGTAAAAGAGTTATGCATGAGAAGACATCATTTAATCATGGAACTTCAGAGAATTGTTATTACCAGGATGGGAAATTCGAAGGAGATAGGGCTGAATCAGGTAAACAGGAGTATTCTACCAAAAGCCATGTATAGCATCTAATTTGCCTAAGCTGGAGGAATGAATATACGTTCAGTTATCTTAAGAACATAGAGATGCTATGGTTTTTAACTGGAGAAGTATTTTTAACTTCTTGAAAAGTAGCTTAAACAAAATTTATAAAACCCTGAAAAGTATCTAATCTCATGAAAATATGTAAGTATGAGACCCAATTTTATTTTCAAATTTCACTAGAAAAACTAATTTAAGAAAGTTCAAGATTGCTCAGAAAAGAATAACATTTCATTTCCCTTATGTGTTCTCAAGTAGATTGCCTCATCTAGTGATTTTTGATATGATGTAAGCATATGTACTTTTATAGAGAAATGAAAGATGCTGTTTCTACCTTATTTTTTGAGACTTCTTTTTTTATGAGGTACAAAGCAGCAAGGGACCAATACAGCATATCTTTCTGTGTTTCTCTCTGTGTTCACTTGGACTTTTATTTCTTCTACGTGTTGCTTCATTTCCCTGTTGCTCTAAAGACTACAGTCCTCCACCCATTTACAGGGCTCTCGAGTAACCTATGATGCGGTACTCTTAACCATCTGGACGCAATGTCTGTAGCACCTTTCCCCAATGATCTTTGAGGATTTTTTCTGTTTCTTAACTGTACCTGATCATGTGCATCTTAGCTCTTCCTAAACTTTGAATGTACTAACGAGGCATTTTATACCTAATATATTTAAGTAGGAGGTCAGTAACAAAACAAGCAAGTAGAAAAAATATATGTGTATAAAAATGAAATCATTTTAAAAAATGAAATCATTTTTATCTTTCTGAACTCATTTCTTTTTTGTGATCTACCATAATATTCAATAGATGGCACTCAAAAACCATCTTAAGTAACTGAGGCCAAGAGAGTTTAAATGAAAATCACCCAGTTAATGGTAGGACCACTGGTAGGTCTTGGATCTGCGACCCTAATGTGACCAAGCCACTCTGTTTGCAATGCCATGGTTTCTCCCTCTAGCTCTTTCCCTCCCCTCCACCCTTCTCTCATTCTAGTACAACTTGAGTATCCCTTATCTGAAATCCTTGGGACCAAAAGTGTTTTAGATTTCAAGATTTTTCATATTTTGATATATTTGTATATACATATGGAAACATGTTGGGGATGAGACCTGAGTCTAAATGTAAGCTTTTATTTGGGTTTCATATAACCCATATATATATATATATATATAGCCTGAAACTAGTTTTATATTTTTAGTATACCTATGCTTTGACTACAGCACATCCCGTGAAGTCAGGTGTGGAATTTTCCACTCTGTCATCATGTTGGCACCTATAAATTTTCAGATTTTGGATTTTATACTAGTCAAGCTACACCAGTAATCCTAACATCAGATACCTATGGAGGCTGTATTGAGCTTCATCATTGTTGTTACACCTTTAGAAGCAAAGTTAAAGAATGTGGGCTTTCATGAGGATAGTTATTTTTATATGTGTTGTTCACCATTGACTCCAAAAGCTTAGAAATGCACCTGGCATCTAAAGTAAATGAATGA